AAGCATTAATAACTCCTTTTGGTCAGGAAGTAATAGCCCCTATATTATGTTCGAAGAACCTATTATAGGCTATAACATTGCTGCCGCTACAGCATTATAACTTATAGAAGGTTGGGGATTCCAGTTGACCTAGAATGAAGAAGGTCAATGGAGGATATAACAATCGGACAACGAACCCGTTGGCCCGAACCCTATCTTTCTCGCCCAGCGCCTCCAGGAGATTGAGGAGGAATAGGCCGAGCTTCGAACGGTCACCCGAAGACTTATAGAAGAAAAAGCTCAGGTTATAAGCCAGCTGGAATTTGTCAAGGCCAAGTTGGCCAGGGTCTAGGAAGAATACTACTCAAACTTATAGGATAGACCGGCATAGGACCTAAGCTAGGATAGGAGGAAAAATAGAATTAAGAACCCCGAGGCTAAATACCAGAAGGCCTAGAACCAGCAAAGACTTAAGGGGCAGGAACTATAAGATTGGGATACTTTTTGGAATAAGAAGCCGTACAACGGCGTTAGGGATAGTAACGCGGTATATATCTGGATTGGATTCGGCCCGCGCTACGAACCCTACGAATAAGACGTACTTTGACTCTAACCCTAGCGATACGACCACGTCTACGTCCTATGGTTCTAGTGTATCGCGTACGAATGCCAATACCATTTTCGATTAAAATTCGATAACGACTTTTGGCCCGATAGGCCTACCGACCGAAACGGAGAACCTCGACTAATCCCGTAGGTTTAGGACACAGGGACCGGCACCGACCAGTTCCTATAGAAGGTCGAGAGGACCAATACATACGATAGAATTAGGGTGATACCGCGAAGAACCCAGCCAGAAGACTGCTAGCGGTAGCCTAATAGCACTTAACAATGCCAGAGCCAGGATTGCTTAATCTATATATAAGCGAAGCTCTAAGAATATCACAAGTGAAAGATATATATACGAAGGTGGATGACGCCTCGCAAACGGCGATAGGAAGAAAGAAGAGCCAACGAAGTTCGCCAATTGTTCAATAAACTCCTAAGACTTGGACTATAGGACGGTAACCAAGAGGCATAGGAAGATAGGGACACCTATCTAGATGCCCAGACAGAGTTAGGAAACGGCTTAGGGCCCTCTGAGGGGCCCGAAAACCACTAAACCCATTATAACGACAATAGATCCGTAGGTATAGGAAGAACCACGTAAGGAAAAGGATCTACAATCTCCTAGCGAACGAAAAGGAAGCCGCTGCGATTTAGAACAACAAGCCCGATGACAGAATTTAGGTTATAGCATACTAGAAAGGATTCCAAACATTGGCACTAGTAGATAGAGGATCTTAGGTCGACCTTATCTCGCCAGCACTTGTCAATCGACTTAGGATCCTATAGAGGATCAAGAAAAAACAGCATATTATTAAAGGACTATTCAATACCCAATAGGTACGATAGGAAACGGAACTACTTAAGATCATGGTAAAAGGAAAAACCACCAAAGTAGTATTTGACATTGTTAAAATAGGGCCTAAGAAGGATATGATTCTAGGACGCCTATAGTATCGGGATTATAACCCAGACATCAGTTAGAAGGGAGGTAGCCACCTATAACCTCGGGAGTAGAGGCTATATCCGACCAACGAGATAGAAAGCGCAGACGATAGATCGCAGCAGGGAAGATCGCCCCGGAAGGCAGCCCCTATAGATCTACCGCAAGAGACGGACAGTGCCAGGCAACGTACTACGGACTTAGGAAGAGGCAGCAGTTACTAGGAAGAACAGCAGGAATCGGCAAGACCAGGCCAGAGACGACGCCACTTGCGACGATACCCTCGCACGGCTTAGAGAGACACAGACGATATCGAAATCGCTATTATCTTAATCGATAAGACCGGAGAATTTAAATTCCAGGATTGGGTCACCTAGAGGGAAGCGGCCAGTATTACGGCCGGAGATAAGTTCTTGTACTACCGGAGTATAGAGAAGAACGCGGAAACGGGCAAAATCCCAGCGGAATACCAAGGACACCCGGCGTTCGAAACAAAGCATCTTAAGGGGCTACTAGACTATAGACCTTAGGATCATAAAATCAAACTCAAGGAAGGAGCCCAATTAAAGTTCTTCAAGGTATACTATACCAACGAAAAACAAAATGCTAAGTTAAGGAGATATCTTAAGGAGAATCTCAAGATAGGGCATATCAGACCATCGATATCACCGGCGGGCTACCTAGTCCTATTCGTTCTAAAGAAGGATAGGAAGCTTCGGATGTATATAGACTACCGACAGCTGAACGGAGAGACGGTAAAGAACCGGTACCCCTTGCCACTTATCTCGCGGCTTCGAGACCAGTTGGCAGGCGCCCGTTACTTTACTCGCCTCGACCTTCCAATAGCGTACGCCTATATTCGCATCAAGGAAGGGGATGAATAGAAGATAGCGTTTCGCACTCCCTACGGCCATTATAAATACCTTATAATGCCCTTCGGATTGACAAACGTACCGGCAACCTTCCAGGCGGTCGTTGACTATATAATCTACCTATTCCTCAACCGATTCGCAGTCTATTACCTAGATGATATCCTTATCTTCTCTAAAACACTTAAGGAATATAAGGAACATATAAGGGCAGTGCTAAATATACTCTATAAGCATAAATTATCAGTTAATAAGGATAAGAGCGAATTCTATATTATAAAAATAGTGTTTCTTGGATACGAAATTTCGCCTGGTAGAATCAGGATGGAGCCAGCGAAGATCGAAGCGATCAAAACATGGCCACGACTAATAACAACGATAGAGGTACGAGGATTTATCGGATTCGCTAATTTCTACCGAATGTTCATCAGGAACTTTGGCGACCTTGCACGACTATTGCACGAACTTATAAAGAAAGATATCGAGTTCCGGTAGGAAGCCGAGCACGAATAAGCGTTTTAGAAGATCCGCGACGTAATCATTGCCGATCCAGTGCTCTGGTTACTAGACCTACGGAAGCCATTTGAGGTGGAAACCGACGTATCCGATTATACGATCGGGGGACAACTTAGTCAGCGCGACAAATAAGGGAAGCTATACCCAGTTATATTCTTCTTAAAAAAGCTCGAAGGACTACGGCTTAACTATCTAATCTACGATAAGGAGCTGCTAGCCATCATCGAGGCCTTTCAAGAATAGAGACTATACCTCAGCGGTATAACCTATAAAGTTCAGGTCTATATAGATTATAAGAACTTACGGTACTTTACTACTACCAAGGTGTTGAACAGACGATAGACTCGATAGGTAGAATTTCTTTCAGAGTTCAACTTCAAAATCAACTATAAGAAAGGCTCAGAAAACGCACGGGCAGATACATTGAGCAGGAGGCCAGATCACTTCAGGAATAGCCAACTAGAAGCCTCGCTACCATTACTTTAACAATAGCTAGATGGTTCCTTACGGCACGCTCCCCAACCGATGGAAGATCTCGATGACAATACGCTTCCACGACAGGACAAAGATCCCGGTATATAACCTCTATAACCGTTTGAAGAATGCTGCGTAGTCTTTAGGGAAGAACGGCTAGGAAAAGACTTCCAAGACCGGAAGCAGAACAATATAGACAAGAAGGCAGGTATCTCTTGGAGAGATAGAGTGTTATAGTATAATGGCAAGGCCTACGTCGCACTATAGGATCAAACGCAATTAATCAGGACAATCCACGAGTCAAAACTCGGAGGATATATGGGAATCGCCAAAACAGTCGCCAAGGTTCGGCAATACTACGACTTCCCAGGACTCAGGACCAGAGTTAAGACTATTATACAGGAATATAACCTCTATAATAGAAGCAAGTCGGCACGGCACAAACTATACGGGTTCTTGGAACCATTGCCAGTTACAGAACGACCATAGAGTTCGGTGATGATGGATTTCATTACCAAACTACCACTTTCGAAAGACTCGACTACCGGAACGAAGTACGATAGCATCCTCACTATAGTCGACCGACTCACCAAGTGGAGCTACTTCTTCCCGTACAAAGAATCATAGTCAGCAGAACAACTTACAGATACGATCTACCGGCATATCGCATCAGTGCATGGATGGCCAGGAGAGTAGATCATAGACCGAGACACCAAGTTCGTATCAAAGTTTTGGCAAGCGCTTATAAAGCGTTTAGGCACGAAAAGCAAGCTCTCAACAGCATACCACCCGCAGATAGACGGCCAGACCGAAAGGCTTAACCAGATCGTCGAACAATATCTTAGAACGTTCATCAACTTCTAATAAGACGACTAGGTTGATCTACTACCAGCGGTACAGCTTACGTACAATATAACGCCAACAGAGATAATAAAGGTCACTCCGTTCTTCGCGAACTTTGGTTACGAAACGGATTTACACCAGGGACCAGATATCACGGTGCCTAGGGCAAAAGTCAAGGTAGAGAAGATACATACGCTATATACAATGCTAAAAGAAGAACTCAAGCTCGTTAGGCTCAGGATAAAGGAGTACTACGATAAACATCGGCTCGAGGGACCTCGCCTTAAGAGAGGGGATATAGTCTATCTCATCTCTCGGAATTTGAAAATAAAACGGCCAAGCCAGAAACTCGACTTTAGAAAGATTAGACCGCTCAAAATCGACACAAGAATTTCGGCATCCAACTATCGACTTTCGCTATTACTAATAATAAAGCTACGTACCAACGTCTTCCATATCTCGCTCCTCGAACTAACACCTAAGAACGTACGGGTTATAAAAGATATCGAAGCCAAGGACGAAGAAGAAGAGTAGGACATTGAGGAAATCTTGGACTCGCGAATAGCTAACGGAAGGTTAGAGTACCTAATCAAATGGCTCGACTTTGGACTAGAAGACAACTTATGGGAGCTAGCGGAACACCTTAACTGCACGGAAAAACTAAAGGAATTCTATCGACGGAATCTAGATCGGCTAGGGAAGAAGAAAGCGTAAAAATCTTCTCCCCGTGAATAGCTCGACCCGGCGGTTAAGCCACTTACGTAGAGAAGAGGCATAGGTGGGATTCGAACCCACGACCTCCTAGAGCATTCGCCCGGGTATAATAACCAAGCTACACCACTAAGCCATTCCATTTATTGGGAAATAGGCAACAAGAATCAGATTAAGAACCCCAGGTAGGAAAAGACAGCTGCAGGCAGTAACACTATAGATAACACCCGCACGGCAGGCGTAACCAAGACCTAGCCACCATCGACTACAAACCCCTACTACCTTGAGAAACCGGAGGGCTTCTACCACCAGAACCCTATAGAGCCAGAAACGAGGGACCTTCCCTAACAACACCCTAATCTATAGGAACGTCCAATAACCAATTGGGACCCAAGTGATCCGACGAAGCAGGACCAGGAACAAGGAAATCCGATAAAGAAGGCGAAGCGGCAGTATCTAGGGACGCTAATGCCGTGCCATCCGAAGGCAGAGCGGCCAGGGAAGCCTGCTCCGACTCCTCCTTCTCCTCCTCGTCCAACAAACGAGACTCCCGACGGAAGGCCGCACGAGCCCTCTCCTCTAACGCCCGCGACTATTGCTCCAAACGAAGCAATTTGCTAATCGTAGCCCGACGCTTGGCATTAAGACGCTCCTTTTCCTTAATAAAAGGACGCACTACGGAAGTCAGCAAGTACGGGAGTAAAGGGAAGCGGCAGACTTACAATCTACGCTATGGACATTGCAGTTGGAACGACCTGCCTTGACGTAAGGAAGGTAACGTTCGTAGCGCTCATGAGCAACACACTCCAGTTTCTTCTCGTGGCAATAGGTGTAGGAGGGCATAATAACACCGGTCCGCGCAAGGAAGCGCACCTGATCGCGACGACGGTCAGAACTCGTTCGTTTCTTTTTCTCTACACGGTCAGGCATGATAACAACGATGCAGAAGGGAAAAACCTACTAGGGCAAGATACAAGGAGGATAGCCAGGACTATTGGTTATTTCAGGAACTTAGTCGTCGGGGCGTCGACCCTAGAGGAGGGGCATCGTATCACGAATTAACCAACGGCAGGCTGCAGGGCAGACGGCCGTATATAGGGACGCGGGGGCGTCCCGAGCCAATCATTTGGACAACTAGGCGGACCAGTCAGAGACAGGCAAAGGTGCTAAGGTGCCAATACCGCTAAGCACTCTGCAGGATGTAAGCGATCAGAGTGATCAGGGGCATATCACGATGAGCACCTGGGTGCTCATCGAATCGAAGTACTGAGCACCCAAGAAGATAGCTAGTATATAGTCACTCGTTCTGGAGGACTCTGGGAGTTCTCCAGTGAGCAATATTACAAGCAATAGCCCATACCTATTGTGCAGACATTGCGGCAAGCATTGTTGTGAACCTTTTGGCTTCACCGAGACCTACAGTCCGACCAGCAGATACCTTCGACCGGCGAACCCTTTCAGAGGCAGGACTGCCTGTGGTTTCGTCACAATATCCTTGTCGAGGCCTTCTGGCAGACTATCGCTGCTATCTTAGTCTTTGCGACATAGTATTACCCAATGGGCCTCTGGCAGAACGGGGACGAAACGTTTAGTACCGCCTCCTAGGGTACGCTAACTTTCGTCCTGGTCTGATTCTTCTATCTCTAGATCACCACCTTTTCCCAGGCGATTACGGCCGCGATCGAGTCTGACAAAACGGCGGTGCAGATTACCACGCTATGCTTTTGGCTTTTACTGGTGTTCTACAGATAAGTATAAAAGGGAGAAGGATAGGACTCGGACGCCCGCTAGCACCCAGCAGTGTTGCTGACCCCTCTCCATGCAGCGTCCTTGTCTCCCCGAACAACCTCCTCCGGTTCTGGATCTTTATCTACCGCGTCTCCCCGCTCACCTACTTCATCAACGGCATAGTTTCCGCTGGCCTAGCCAACGCGCACGTTACTTGCTCCGCGGTCGAGACACTATCGATCCCCCCGCCAGCCGACTTTATAGGCATATGCGGTCAGTATCTCGCCCCGTATATTGCGTCGGCAGGGGGCTATATGGCGAATCCCGAGGTCAACGCCGGTTCCGCCGGCCTGGGGGGACTCAGAGGCGGCGCCGCGGCGTGCTTATACTGCCCTGTGTCGGACGTCAATGCCGTGCTGCAGCAACTGGGGATAGATATGGATACGGGACATGCGTGGCGAGATACAGGGTTCTTGGTTGCGTATATCGTCTTTAACGCCTTGGCTGTATTTGGGGTTTATTAGGTTGCGAGGATACAGCCGCGGACCGGGTCTAGGAAGACGTGATTCTGATAAACCACTCTAAAATGTGTTTTTAGTGCCGTAATTTGTTGTTATTGGGAATTGGCTGTGGTTACCTTACCCTGATGTAACGTAATTGCTTGGCAGTACTCCCTCCGGTCGTCAGCCTGCATGCGGCTTTTCCTTTCCCATCCTGGCGAGCAACTCCGGCAACTCCAGCGCCAGCTCTTTGCCGCCCGTAACAACACCCGCACTAGGAGAAGCCGGAGCAGTAGCCATGTTCGTCACTTTCGGGACGACGACAAACCCCGTGCACCGCGACGACTCGGTCGGCCCGGAGGCGCAGGGCTATGATGACGGGCGGTCCAAGGCGAAGAAGAGGAGAGCCTAGGTGGCCCAAGCATATACTTACTATGTCGTAAGGAGTGGGCATGTGGGGTGTACCTTTGCGCTTGGATTATGTGACCACGGTGATATCACGGACCGTATGGGGTGCAATGGTATATATGTGGTTGTACGAGGGAACCAGAAGTGTGGCCCTGCCGCGCGCAGGGAATACCCTGCGCTGCACAGACCCTGTGGGCCCGACCAGGGCTCCACAACCCTCGTGTCTGAACCCTAACCCCACTCTACGACATGGCACGGGCTATGCCCGTGACAAGAGGGCTTGAGCTTGGAGAATGGATACAGGCATGGCCGAAGAGATCTCGCGTCTATATATTAGTATGGTAGTATACCTTACATCACCACGACCGCCCCCTATAGCTCGTAATAGCCGGACCGAACTATGCCGCCAATAGGCAGCCCCGGCCAGGAGCTGATCTCTTGGCTTTATACCACCATAGCGCAAAGTGTAGATGTGCACCGCGGACTTGTGACGAAACCACAGGCAGTCCTGCCTCTGAAAGGGTTCGCCGGTCGAAGGTAACTGCTGGTCGGACTGTAGGTCTCGGTGAAGCCAAAAGGTTCACAACAATGCTTGCCGCAATGTCTGCACAATAGGTATGGGCTATTGCTTGTAATATTGCTCACTGGAGAACTCCCAGAGTCCTCCAGAACGAGTGACTATATACTAGCTATCTTCTTGGGTGCTCAGTACTTCGATTCGATGAGCACCCAGGTGCTCATCGTGATATGCCCCTGATCACTCTGATCGCTTACATCCTGCAGAGTGCTCAGCGGTATTGGCACCTTAGCACCTTTGCCTGTCTCTGACTGGTCCGCCTAGTTGTCCAAATGATTGGCTCGGGACGCCCCCGCGTCCCCACATACGGCCGTCTGCCCTGCAGCCTGCCGTTGGTTAATTCGTGACACGATGCCCCTCCTCTAGGGTCGACGCCCCGACGACCAAGTTCCTGAAATAACCAACAGCCCTGGCTATTCTCCTTGTGTCTCGCCCTAGTAGGTTCTTCCCTCCTGCATCGTCGTCATCATGCCTGACCGTATAGAGAAAAAGAAACGAACGAGTTCTGACCGTCGTCGCGATCAGGTGCGCTTCCTCGCGCGGACCGGTGTTATCATGCCTTCCTGCACTTATTGCCACGAGAAGAAACTGGAGTGCGTTGCTCATGAGCGTTACGAACGTTGCCTTCCTTGCGTCAAGGCAGGTCGTTCCAACTGCGATGTCCATGGCGTAGATTGTGAGTCTGCCGCTTCTCTTTGCTCCCATGCTTGCTGACTTCCGTAGTGCGTCCTTTTATTAAGGAAAAGGAGCGTCTTGATGCCGAGCGTCGGGCCACGATTAGCAAATTACTTCGTTTGGAGCAACAGTCGCGGGCGTTGGAGGAGAGGGCTCGTGCAGCCTTCCGTCGGGAGTCTCGTTTGTTGGACGAGGAGGAGAAGGAGGAGTCGGAGCAGGCTTCCCTGGCCGCTCTGCCTTCGGATGGCACGGCAGCAGCGTCCCTAGGTACTACCGCTTCGCCTTCTTTGTCGGATTTCCTTGCTCCAGGTCCTGCTTCGTCGGATCACTTGGATCCCAACTGGTTGTCGGACGTTCCTATAGACTGGAGTGTTGTTGGGGGAGGTCCCTCGTTTCTGGCTCCACAGGGTTCTGGTGGTGGGAGCCCTCCGGTTTCTCAAGGTAGTGGGGGTTCGTAGCTGGTGGTGGTCGGGTCTTGGTCGCGCCTGCCGTGCGTGTCGTGTTGTAGCGTGGCTGCCTGCAGCCGCTCTTTCCTGCCTGGGGTTCTCAATCTGATTCTTGTTGCCTGTTTCCCGACAAATGAAATGGCTCAGTGGTGTAGCTTGGTTATCACACCCGAGTGATTGCTCTGGGAGACCATGGGTTCAAATCCCATCTGTGCTACTGCTGGCTGTGGTATGGGATGACGTCGTGCAAGTCGTCACCCAGAACACGGTCAGCTTTTGCGTTTTTCCTCCTTCCTGGGCGGTCTGGGTTCCTTCGGTGGAATTCTCTTAGTTTTTCTGCGCAGCTGAGGTGTTCTGCTGGTTCCCATGAGTTGTCTTCTGGCCCGAAGTCGAGCCATTTGATCAAGTATTCTAGCCTTCCGTTGGCTATTCGTGAATCCAAGATTTCCTCAACGTCCCATTCTTCTTCTTCGTCCTCGGCTTCGATGTCCTTTGCAACCCGTGCGTTCCTGGGTGCTGGTTCGAGGAGCGAGATATGGAAGACGTTGGTGCGTAGCTTCATCGTTGATGGTAGCGAAAGTCGATAGTTGGATCTCGAGATTCTTGCGTCGATTTTGAATGGTCCAATCTTTCTGAAGTCGAGCTTCTGGCTTGGCCGTTTCGTTCTCAAATTCCGGGAAATGAGGTAGACCATGTCTCCTCTCTCAAGGCGAGGTCCCTCGAGCCGATGTTTGTCGTAGTACTCCTTCATCCTGAGTCTGACGAACTCGAGTTCTTCTTTTAGCATTGCATGCAGTGCATGCATCTTCTCCGCCTTGATTTTTGCCCTGGGTACCGTGACATCTGGTCCCTGGCGTAAATCTGCTTCGTAACCAAAGTTCGCGAAGAACGGAGTGACCTTTGTTGTCTCCGTTGGCGTTGTATTGTATGCAAGCTGTGCCGCTGGCAATAGATCAACCCAGTCGTCTTGCTGGAAGTTGACGAACGTCCTGAGATATTGTTCGACGATCTGGTTGAGCCTTTCTGTCTGGCCATCTGTCTGCGGGTGGTATGCTGTTGAAAGCTTGCTTTTCGTGCCCAAACGCTTCATAAGCGCTTGCCAGAACTTTGATGCGAATTTGGTGTCTCGGTCTGTGATCCATTCTTCCGGCCACCCATGAACTGCTGCGATGTGCCGATAGATCGTATCCGCAAGTTGCTCTGCTGACCATGATTCTTTGTATGGGAAGAAGTAGCTCCACTTGGTGAGTCGATCAACCACAGTGAGGATGCTGTCATACTTCGTTCCGGTAGTCGAGTCTTTCGAAAGCGGTAGTTTGGTGATAAAGTCCATCGTCACCGAACTCCATGGTCGTTCTGCAACTGGCAATGGTTCCAAGAACCCGTATGGTTTGTGCCGTGCCGACTTGCTTCTATTGCAGAGGTCGCATTCCTGCACAACAGTCTTGACTCTGGTCCTGAGTCCTGGGAAGTCGTAGTGTTGCCGAACCTTGGCGACTGTTTTGGCGATTCCCATGTGTCCTCCGAGTTTTGACTCGTGGATTGTCCTGATTAATTCCGTTTGATCCTGTGGTGCGACGTAGGCCTTGCCGTTGTACCATAACGCTCCATCTCTCCAAGAGATGCCTGCCTTCTCGTCTGCATCGTTCTGCTTCCGGTCTTGGAAGTCTTTTCCTAGCCGTTCTTCCCTGAAGACTGCGCAGCATTCTTCAAACGGTTGCAGAGGTTGTGTGCCGGGATCTTCGTCCTGTCGTGGAAGCGTGTCGTCATCGAGATCTTCCATCGGTTGGGGAGCGTGCCGTAGGGAACCGTCTGGCTGTTGTTGAAGTAATGGTGGCGAGGCTTCTGGTTGGCTGTTCCTGAAGTGATCTGGCCTCCTGCTCAACGCATCTGCCCGTGCGTTTTCCGAGCCTTTTTTGTAATTGATTTTGAAGTTGAACTCTGAAAGGAATTCTGCCCATCGAGTCTGTCGTCCGTTCAACACCTTGGTGGTAGTGAAGTACCGCAAGTTCTTGTGGTCTGTATAGACCTGGACTTCGTGGGTTGTGCCGCTGAGGTATGGTCTCCATTCTTGAAAGGCTTCGATGATGGCTAGCAACTCTTTGTCGTGGATTGGGTAGTTGAGTCGTGGTCCTTCGAGCTTTTTCGAAAAGAATGCAACTGGGTGTAACTTCCCATGTTCATCGCGCTGGCCAAGTTGTCCTCCGATTGCATAGTCTGATGCATCGGTTTCGACCTCAAATGGCTTCCGTGGGTCTGGCAACCAGAGCACTGGATCGGCGATGATTGCGTCGCGGATCTTCTGAAACGCTTGTTCGTGCTCGGCTTCCCACCGGAACTCGATGTCTTTCTTCGTGAGTTCGTGCAATGGTCGTGCAAGGTCGCCAAAGTTCCTGATGAACATTCGGTAGAAGTTGGCGAATCCGATGAATCCTCGCACCTCTGTCGTCGTTGTTGGTCGTGGCCATGTTTTGATCGCTTCGATCTTCGCTGGCTCCATCCTGATTCTGCCAGGCGAAATTTCGTATCCGAGAAACACTGTTTCCGTAACATGGAATTCGCTCTTATCCTTGTTGACTGACAATTTATGCTCGTGGAGTGCGTTTAGCACTGCCCTCACGTGTTCCTTGTGTTCCTCGAGTGTTTTGGAGAAGATGAGGATGTCGTCTAGGTAACAGACTGCGAATCGGTCGAGGAATGGGCGGATCGCATGATCAACGACCGCCTGGAAGGTTGCCGGTGCGTTTGTCAATCCGAAGGGCATTACGAGGTACTCGTAATGGCCGTAGGGAGTGCGAAACGCTGTCTTCCATTCATCCCCTTCCTTGATGCGAATGTGGGCGTACGCTGTTGGAAGGTCGAGGCGAGTAAAGTAACGGGCGCCTGCCAACTGGTCTCGAAGCCGCGAGATAAGTGGC